AATCCTAATTTTAAAGAGACAAGAGATTCCCAAGTAGAAACCTAATATAGAACAGAAAAAAACACAGACTTTTTTTTTTCCAGACATTTTTGGTAGTCTTGCCATTTTTGGAATCTTGCTTGCTGGTTTTTATTTTGTTTGGTAACAGCACTTGCGCTTACCTGGTTTAAATAAAACCATGACCTGAGGAGCATATTCTGCTTCCAAACAGTACAAATAACCTAGAAAGTGATAATCCACCTAAAGGAARTATTAAGTCACTACCGATTGTCCACTCTATGCACATTAGAAAGTGAATATTCAAGACTGTTGCAGATCCTGTACAATGCAAATTTAGAAGTGGTAGAAAGACAAAGCAATTACTGGAACATATCACTGATATGAAGTAGTTCCACCATGAAAAGAGATTAATCTTCAAACAGATATCAGAATAATCACCCACTGTTCCACTACAGAGCTGTAAGATTCTGACTCTCATCTGTAGAAACAGGTGAACAGCAGAAAATTATTTTTACTCAGTTTTCATGGGAATATTGAAGACTGTTCTAGTGGCTCAAAGTACAGTATAAAAAGAATTATGCAGTTCGTGTTTCAAATTCTAGAGAATTTATGATCTTTCTCTTCTCATTTCTACTGTTAAGAAAATTAAGTATGATCAAACTTGCACCTTGTTATGAAAACTTAAATTACATTTTATCTACTTACAATAAGTGGTGCAGATGGGTCACCTCAAATGAGGAGTCCATCTCTGCTCCTCTTTATCCCAGAGATTGCAGGCTGTCCTGGATATGGTTTGACCCCAAATCATCTCTTGATCTCAAATTCCATACTGAAGTCTTGTTTCCCAGAAATAATCTGGGAAACAATAAGTAATGAAGAGAAGTATACACAAAAAAGAACAATCTACTCATTGGTCCTTGACCTCCTGAGGCTGCAGTCCACACATGCCTTCCACATGCAATGAAAATGTTCAGCACTGCTTCCACTTTCCAGCTCCGGTGTCCCAAGTTACAATAACCAAAAACACAGTTCCTGGGTTTCTGTTCAGTTAAACCACAGTTAACTAGATGCACACTGCCAAATACATTAGAAGCTTCACAACAAAAAGGACACTTCGTCCCCATCTGCGATCAACAACCTCTTCTTTCAGGTTTTGAGTTTTGTTCAGTCTTGTGTGAGTTTTCATAATATTACGGACAGCAACGTTGCTAACAAAATGGCTCAAGATGCKACCAAAAATCTGTCTAATAGGCATGAAAATATCCACAATGAAATTTGCATTAAGTAGTGAATCGGTATTTACAAAGAGTAGTTTTTTTCGGGTAACAAAACCCATTCTGATCACAACAAGCTCTTGCACAAGCTAAAGTACTTCATTCCTTTCTTAAAGRATCTCAGAGTCAACAGTGAAGTCCTAAATCAGAGGAAAAAAACAAAAACAAAACAACAACAACAACAATAAAAAACCCAAACCCAGATATTATCTCAAAAGGTCRTCTTTTCTCTGATTTATAAGCACATTAATGCCAAAGACTATTCTTCTGCAAAAATTATGCTTTTTAATATAACTTAAAATTCCCRATTCCTCATAAATGTCATCCATCCAACAACTGGGTTAGATGTGGGTTTTAGGGGTGCAGCTTAACAAATCTGTTTCAGCACAACATTAAAACTCAAATTTTCAATTCAACCTTTCCACCGAAACAACAACTGAAATCCTAGTCATTCAGAGATCAAAAGGCTTCAGAAAAATAGCTAAAACGATGCCTTACARATTAGCAGTTACAGCAAAATATTGTTCACCAATAGACAGGTTAAGGGACAGAGTTAGCTAATAATGAACAGGGGTTTACCAGAGGTGACTGAAGCAAATCCCCCAAATACCAAACCCTACCTGATGGATGARAAAGGAAAGTCTAACAGGCACCAGTGCCAGTTCTTCCCTTGTACAGCCAGGGAACTAAAAATGGAAGGAAAATGATCTACCCATGTTGATGCAAATATTTAAGGAAATAACGGCATTTCTAAATCTGATACAATGTTCTACGCTATAACATTACTCCTGTTATACTACAGTCAGATCACTGTGCTTAATGAGAAATCCTACAGCAAAACATATGAGATGACTGAAGATGACAACTAAGTTTATTCATAGACCAGCAGCATCTCTTTGCTTTTTATAAACATCCATGGGCTGCATGTTCCCTTGTAAAAAACACATTGACTCTCCTATGTAAATAGTTTCAATACTCTTACAAAGCAGAGGGTCTTGAGAAAAATGGAACTCTTACAAACAATGGTAATTTATACAAAATACTCTTTTACAATCAATTTTGCTGAGGAGGAAGCAGTTAAATTATGCAGCAGCTGATTTTTATTCATGTTTCATGTGTAAATGTGACGTACTGAACACWGTCCAATCTCAAGTGAAAACAATGACACACATGGTCAAAGGTGAATCATCACCTGACAGAGGCGGAGGCTTATTTTACTATTTAGCTATCAGTGAAAGTCAGTAATTTTATGTTCAGTGCTGCGAGACTGTAGCCCCAACAGCTGTGAGCAGATGATGATTAAGATTTAAATCAGGATCAAGTCCTATTACATGCCAGAGTGAAAGATTTTCCAGATAAAAGAAGCAATCACCAATCACTAACCTCTGACGATTAACCAAGCACGACATCACCAGACACTCTCAGYTCTCCAGAAACAATCACCAATTTCTTACTTTTGCTCCATTTTTTCCCCCCACTCCTTGAAGGACTAAAATATGTGGAATCTGTTGCAAGTGGTAGCTCTGGCATCATTTTCTGAGACTTACTTCCCATCATTCAGATGAAGACTGACCTACCTKCTAGACACTCAAGGCAACTGAAACAGAGTGCTGAATGATTTTAGGTACTACCAAAATGACTAATATCAGGTATCAGGCACACAGGCAGAAAAATCAAMCAACTTCAGCCTGACAGTCTGCAACAGTATGTCTATAACCAAAGTTCTGTTCTAAATTTGAAAATTGGTACATTTTCTCTATTATTAGAATAAGTACAACTCTGCGTATTCACTATCTTCCTTTAATTGTATGTTTACCACAGAAAGAAATTTAGTGGGACCTCTTTTTTTCAATGAGATCTTTTCCAAATTGGTAGAAAGAGTAGACATAGCGATGATCTTTGTCACATAGGATCCATTTTCATACTCCAGAAATATTACTTACCATAGAAAGGAAGCATACCCAAAGCACAGTCAAAACAACAATCGGGAAACGCCAGGAACCCATAACAATGGCTAGGCACAAGAACTCAGATTTGGTTATGGACAACTCATGATAGACTGAAAGYCATTCTACACATACATGATGGAGCACTTTCTTTGAGGTGAACTCACTTATCTCCACAACAGTACACAAGGTCTCCAGTTTCCTAAAAACAGACACATAATAGTATGCTTGCACACACACACACAAAAAAAGCAAATTTATTACTTTTTGTTTTAAAAATGCTGTGTTCAAAAAGTTTGTTTTTCTAATATTAAGTATGACACAAATTCAGATACTCCTCTCTTTTGCAAARGATCTGTCATCATGCATCACAAATCGAGAAATGTCAAACAAACTGAAACACACCAGAATGGTAAAACAAACAAACAAAAACCTTCAAACAAACAAACAAACAAAAAACCCCCCCCCACCACTACATTCATTAGTACCACGGCTCTCCTGTAACTGCATAAACGACAATCACATCAGTATTTGCTTATTAATCAACTTAGAAGTAAACTGCAATGTAATCACTCAGTAGAGCAACAAAAAAAAAAAAATAGAAAAGTGGAAACTCAAGACTTCGTTTTCTCCTGGTAAGAAAGATCAGTAGAAATATTTCATTCAACCAATAACAGAACAATTATCTCCAGATGTAAACACCTTGCCTTCTTATGACACTGCCAACACAAGATATTTGCTTCAAAACCTGAAAGGACAAAGAATCCAAGACTTCATTGCCAAAGCTGTGAGGGTGTGCAAAAGTGGTATGCCAGCATATCTAAAGAACACCACTGTTCGTAGTGTGGACAGTTTATCATTCAGTCATTTGTCTTTTTTTTTTTTTTTTTTTTTTTTTTTTTTTTTTTAAGTTGAACATACGCACTGGTGGAAACAACAGGAAGAATTTTTAGTCATTGTTGCTTCTTTTAATGGTATTTCTCTGCGAGACAGTAGATGATATAAACATAATGAAATGCCCTGATAGGGATCAATGTTGACTACAAGACATAGTAAGAAGAATGTGAATTTTCTAGGCTCTCCAAASAACTCTATAGTCCTTAATTTCCCATTCTGCATTAATGTTTCACATTCACTACTGTCTTTAGTATTTTGGTGCCATCCAACGAAATTTGTACTTATGTAGCAATGGAAACCAAGACACTAGGCCGCAGAAACGGAATCATGCCTGCGCTTCAAGAGGAAAGAGAGGGGTATCACCACTAAAGGCCTACAAAACTGCAGGCCTTCATGAAGCTGACTACACGAGGCGGAGCAAGCAATAAATCTAGAAGACAGGACACGTTCTGGAATACGAGCACAGYGCTCATCCAGGGAAGGGCAGTTTTGAGCACTGTCAACACGTGAACACAGACCACATTTAAAACGTCAAACAAAAACCATGCTATACGGTCCACCAGGAGAACTGGGTTTATAGTGAAATTTATTGTTCTGCTTCCTAATACAATAAGCTACAAGGTACATACAGTATAAAACGAGAACGGCCACAAAGCAAAAGTGGTAGACAGTCTGTGACAGTACAGTGGAGCTAACATCCTCTGTCTAATCCTTCCACTTTATCCCACAAACATCAGCTAAAACTACAGGCCCTCCCCTTCCCTCCCCTCCAAAAATATTAAAAAGGAAACTGTCTCTTATTTAGGAGCAGCGGGATTTTCTTTTTTTTTTTTTCCTTTCTTTTTTTTTTTTTTTTGAGGGCAATGGCTATCTGCCAATATCTCAAGAAAACTGCTGAAACTAAAGTAACAACAGAAACAAAAACCGTGAAAGTGGGAGTGACATGACCCATGCAAGATGCTCATGACACCTTGGTTCACTTCTCCTCAGAGCAAATGGCCTGTAAAGAAAGGAAATGTTAGTTACACCAAGTAAAACTGCAATTGAAATGGTCAGTTAACATACAGTAAAAGCACAATGTGAACTAGACAAGACTAGGCACCCAGCTAAACTATCCCCTTTACAAGGAATACATACTCATTGTTAACAAGGTTTGGGGATCCTTCTCCTTTAATATTTAAATTCTATACAGGAGAGTATACATCGTTATGTATCCAGATAACACCTATTACATAAGGCTCCAAATCAAGGAATTTGCTTCAGGAGAATTCTAACCATTACATGAACTGTATCCTAAACTCTTAACCCACTCCCTTCCCTCCCTGCCACAAAGCCCTCAAGCCCAAGGCCAAAAGCACACAAGACGACCGAACATTTACCTTAAAAGGCACAAAAAAATCCATTTAAGCACTTTTTCATATATACTTGGTGCGATTGAGAGCTCTCTCGGCCAGATGACCACTTTCATCTGTTATTTTCTCCCAATCCGTTTGTCCAACCACAAAACCAATGGCCCTTTTCCTGTCTGCATCTTTCTTTTCTTCTAGATCTGCCCAGCGCACCTATGGAAAACACACTATCAGTAGGACAATCTCTTAAGAAACTATGATACACTACTGAGATTTTTCACTGCAGGTGAGAAAATAAGAATTTTAATTTGCACTCATTGTAATTCTGACAGATAAGTATAAACTTTTTTTTTTCTATCTGAGACACAAAGATGGAAACTATAGCAGATACACTATTTTTAATAGCCTGAATGTTCCATGAAGGAGAAAAATGGAGTGTATGATTACTTACTCCATTTCTGTGCTATAATTTTGAGAATCAAAGTGTAATTGCCACTTTTACTTCTCTATTTAAAACAGTACTTTCTGCACAAAGAATGATCAAAGATTGATATATTGCTCATTAAAGTACAGTATTGTAGCAAAACTCCGAATTTTAGTACTAAGTGAACTGAAACAGGAGAGCAGATAACACATACAGAACTCCAGTCTTCATTTTCTATAAAATGTGGTTTTTGATTACACAATATAAAAACCTAGAAGTAGATAGATATTACTGCAAAGGATATTTTGGCAATGAATGAATTAAATAGGGCAAAATTTTCTTCTCTAGTTTCCGTGATATATTTCTATTATTTTTGCTAGTACTACTTTATGTTAAGTAACTTCTTCCATTTGTTATTTCTTTATTTATCTTTACAATTGCAGCCATTGYGTCTGTAACTCTCTGCCATCAAGCAGACAGCTTTGCATTCATCCTGTCCCAGCAGCTACAGTCACTCATCCACAAACACAGATATCCAAGTGGGGAAGGGAGCAGGTGACGATGAAGGTCTGYACTCTAGTAGAAAATAAGATGAAACGGGTTTCTTCCCTGACATCCTGCTTACTCCCATTCACACAGATTTATTACTCATTTTTCTGCCAGCACCACACTATTTCACACACTACCTGAATTTCCTCAGACATTCCTACTGATGAGCAATACCTGCTTTCTTCCACCATCACTATTTCTGCAAACATCTAGTATCTCCATTCCCCTCATTCTTACTCTCTAGTACTATCCAGGTTTCTTTGACACTACAAAGCAAAGTACAAACCTAGATAATTAACTCCAGTATTTTAGCATCAAAAATTAAGAAATTGTATTTACAGTTAACCTATTCATTAAAAGAGTATTGTAACATGAAGGCCAATACTATTTGGAACAGTTTCATCTTAAATCTTAAGAGCCAAATTCAACTATAAACTGTGTAAGATCTATTTCTTAGAAGTTTTAATATGCAACTAGCTGTAACATACTTCAGATAGATTAATAAAATAATATCATTTCTCATATTCTGCATTCTATAATCACACATGACAGAACACAATATAGAAACAACGCTTGCAGGTTCCTCTGAAGTGCATTGTTTGCACCAGCAAGTAATAGAACACGGTCACTTCCTCAACCTCAAAATCATGYCATACATGGTTACTTTTTATTATTTATAATTTCACTAATACCTCATCTGTTTACCTCTGGAAGACCCTGTTCTCAAGAGTATTATTACAGAATGTAACGAAATGGGAGAATTAAAAGAAATGAGAATGAAATTCCTATATTCACAGATATTCACAGACACCAGATGTCTTGATACACACTCTTGCTCAGAGACTTTCAAACAGGTTATTTACAGACAGCAAGTCATTAGAAAACTGATTACCCTCTTCTTTCCAGGTTCAGAAGCACGTGTATCATAGTCATCTGGAAGCTGTAGGTAATCTTCCATTCTGCTGGCAATTGCTTCCCAGTCACGCTTCCTTTTAGCGCCAGTCCGCAAACCATCCAGCTTGTCTGTGAACAAACACAGAGCCTCAGAGTTAAAGGAGATTTTTTTATTATTATTATTCTTACAAAATAAGACAAGAGTGGAAATACTTTCAAAAGAATGAACACAACTTGCACATCCAGCTTGTCTTGGTAAGTGGAATGATGAGAGTTGAAATAAAGTAGAGAAGACTCAGCGTCATTTTCAAGTTTTATTGATCTTTCACATTAACTCTGTGGCATAACACTCCATCTTGTTATTCGTATGAGAGAAAAGCTTGCTTTTCTGGAGGTTCATACCATGTAGAGTCCATCCTCAAGAGGTACAACACAGCTATCAAAAGCTGTTTAAGGAACCACAAATCCAGCTGTTCTGTACTTTAATGCAATATTAACGCAGTAGCATTTCTTCCCAGAAATATTGTGTCAAACGCAACATATCAGGGAATAAATGACAATGATATAATTAAAAGCACTGATGACCAATTTTTGAGATACTTTTCTGCTTAGTAACTCCCCTCAAAACCTGATCTCCATTTCTTCCCCCATCCTCTTTTCTTCCTGCCCAAGAAAAAACAAACCAAACAAACATGAAAATATCCTCCAGAACTGGAAAAAAATCTCAGAATCTTTTTTTTTTCATGATGCCAAAGCTTAGTCACAAAAACTTGAGAAGCTTGTCCAACAGTCATCATTTTCTTCTTCTGCTTATTGAACCAATAAAGCATGAGGAGAAAAACAATTACTCCTAGGTTTTAAAATTTTGTTCCTCTTTGCATACTTATTTTTGGTGAAGAAAGGGTATCTTCTTGAAATTAGCTAGCAAATTCCTTTTGTTAATGAGATGAAGTAATTATTCATCAGAAGATTAAAAACAATATGGCATGACAATGGGAAACAACTTTACAATGCAGAATAAATTCTAGTACTTCTGCAGTTGATGTATGCTACTATTTAAAAAAAACAACAATTAAGTAAATGCGGAGGGAAAAGTAAGATTGTTAGGTACATTCTATAAACCGTTTCCACTGGTGACAGTAACACTGGTTCAGAAGTCACTGACATGATTAAATTTGCCCACAAAACAGCCCTGAAACAACCAAATATAAGGCAGTATATTTTCTGGAGAGCAGAAGAGGATGTTCAAAAGTATGCATTCAAAGAAGCACAGTTCAGAGATGAGGTTTTTGCTTAATATGGGAAAGAGAAGAATAACAACAGGGATGTGAGGCAATGGTGATGCAGACATGCTAGTAATATTTAAATGCTGTAACCTAGTGAAGTCACTTCTCCCTCATACAGCTCTTAAAATTTTTAAGTATCTATCTTTGCCCCATTTTACTGGAACAGATAGAGTTTTTCCTAGAAAAACATGTTAATCCGCTCCACCAAAAGAACATCATTGAAGAAAAAATCACGCAACAGTATTTGCATCTGTTACATGGTATCTTGTGACATGACTCAGTTAAGGTTCTTCTTTTGTTCTAAGTTAAATCTGCCAAATTTGAAGCTCTATCTCCACAGAAAGACGACATTTCTTCTAGAAGACAAAATTCATGACCAGAATATCCTTCTGTTACTCCAGTATAACAGGTACTTGTGCAGTTCTTCAGCATTACTCGCACACCGATCAATGAGACCATTCATAGCATAAGGGTTCCCAGAAKACTTTATATTTAGAGAGAGCTACAAACACCCCAAGGAGCATTTAGGATCATGCAGAACCGAAAATTCAGGAGCTCTCTGTTGAGAGTYATATACACACAGACACATTCTTGTTGGAAGGCAGCATCTGATGTAACATGCTATGGTACAAGTGCATCTCATCACCAGTGTGGAAGAATTCACTCTCCCACTCCCTCTTGCACRCAATTGAAAATTATGCCAGGAAATGTGTAACTCAAATAGAAACAGGGGAGCTCAGAAGGTCTTCGGAGTATGAAAATACCCTCATGCTCCGTTTTTAAAGAGTTCGTTATCTCTACATGGAATTTATTTTTTAAAGCATATGTCCTTTGTTTGGAGTTGGATTGTCTTCCCAAAGAGACCTGCTTCCATCCATGCTAACGTGGTTCAAGGTACACATGGCATAGAGCAAACACACTGGGCCTTTGACATACACTTAGAGTGTGTGTTTTTCATTTTTTYCCCCCCTCTCTGAAATGAAACAGGGTCACTCTGTAACCTTAGTGTTTGTGCGTATTTATGGAAGATCATCAGTGTGAACCTATCACAAAAATCATTTTACCATTTCAAAGTTKAAAACAATGAGGTAGCAGCTTTCCTGAAGATCCATAAAATGTAAACTTGCCAACTCACCTTTAGAATTTTAATAATAAAACCATCTCAAAGTGACCACTGCATTGCTTCTTCAAAAACGAAACACTAGACTAAATGAATCAAATTTTTGTACTTCTTATACAAAAAAAAAAAAAATGTTTTAAGTATAACGTTATTAGTATTACAGAGCTAATTTTACAATGGTATCAAAACTTCAGCTATGGCAGAGATCATTTCTCCATCCATAAAAAGTTTGTACACCCTGGAATTAACCTTGACAGAGGGTATTGTGCTAAACACTTCAAATATAGTCTGATTTTAAAAACGTTAGTCCATTTCTGATAAATTTAAATAAAAGAACTGTGTGTACTATGCACAGGGACAGACTGAAATAGTAGTGATTACATTTTAAACAGAAATGTGGCCATGCAGTCACAACACACAAGGAAATGATATACCAGCACATACACTCAGAGGAATGCACGTGGCTGCCAAAGTAAACTGGCTCTACAGCAGGAGCTCTGAGGAGCAGCGATTGTCACACGTCACTGTTGCAGCTAAAACCCCACAGCTTCCAGACGTTTTAGGAGGCATACTACAGTCAGCAAAATCTTGCCTGTAACAGCATCKACTCAAAAAAGTACAACAGCATTTAAAATGCTTTTATGCTGGATTTATATTACTTCTGTAAATGCATGCCCTGTGGGAATAGAGCAATAAATATAGCGGGCAATGCAGGTCCCAGGAAGTAACTCTACTTTGGAATGACACTTGCCTATCTCAGTTCATATGTCATTCAGAAAATTATGTTAATTGGTCACCTACCGAAAGGGGCTGTAATTAAATCAAATACAAAACTTTATTGTGATTATTCTTACTCACAGACCACAAGCATTTCTAATGCATACTTTCAGCTCAAAGGTGTTTGTCCTTGCAGAACATTTTTTGAAGAAACAATATTCATTACACTGAGATGTCAGGCTTTTAAAAAATGTGTATTCCATCAGAATTTACTTTTAAATCTACAGTTCCATATATTTGGAAAAAAAGGGAGAATTTAGAGAGTAGCTATAATACATGTAAAACTGTAAATACAGATTTAATGCAAACATCTTCTCAATACTTATATCTGTAAGGTGCAAAATGCTAATACTCAGCTTGTTAATTGAGTTCTTATTGTTAAAAGATCATTGCAACAGGCTTACAAGTAACTATAGTGTTAAGACCGACACTGCTGCACACTCTTCATTTTGTATATATAGTAAGTAGAGGTCATATAAAAAATTCTTTTCAGGTTACAGATACRGGGAGAAACTCAGTATCATTCTTTGCTTCTATTCGTTAGCAGTAATTGATCTTGAGACAGGGCAATTTTGAGAACTATCCGTAAATTTCCACAGCAGYCACAGAGCCTGTGCTGCTATGAACTACACATAAAATGCAAATGCTTTTAGAACATACTTTGGATTCTTAAGATATTTGTAAAATATATGGGATGTCTTTAAAATGTTCACACAAGGTAGTGGAAGGTATTTGCTCCTGTTAATCAGTATTCAAAGAAAAGTCAAGGTTATTTGGAATGTTAGACAATAGAGATTTGCATTCTTGTATAAACAAAAATGACAAGCTAAGATGTYGGAGTAATTAACTCTAATTTGCCAGACAAATCCTTAGTGAGTTCTGTCTTTAACTACCTGGTTGCTTGATATGCCTAATGCAGTGAGTACAAGGCTCCTCTCGCAGTGCAAGGTACTGCAGGTGCCAAGAAGTCCAGATATTTCATAAACATTTAAATGACTTGAAAGAGCACAGCAGCAGCAGAGATGGTGCAGCTAAGTGGTGAGCAGCAAGGCATGAAAGGCTCTTCTGTGYAAGCCACAACTTCTGGTGCTATTTCTGCTGTGCAACTGCGATTTTGGTTATTGGAAAGCAGTGATATACAGGGCTGTGCTACACATGCAGAAGCAAACCTCAAGGAATTAAGACATGCTGCGTCGCATTCAGATATATTTGTTATATAACCTAAAAGTGATAGAAATAATAATCTTGTACAGATCCCATTTACGCATCTTAAACTAGTTCCATAACTGTTCGTTAACAAACACAACGACTGGAAACTCTTTGAACACGTGTACACATTCCATCATGGCTCTGGTGGCTGCATTTCAACCAAAAGTTGCTTTTGACTTCGACAGCATCACTTGTATATTATGCAGACAAAGCAATAAACRGAAGCGTAACAAAAATAATCTCCTTATACTCATTTTGTAAATCCACTTTGTGTCCTACTAAAAGGACCCTAAGACTCTCCTGGAATTTGAAAAGCACATCAAAGACTAATTGTTCAGGACCAACTTCCAAGTATGGCATTTTCTTTTTCTTGCATGTCTTGGAGAGCAAGAAATACCTTAAATACAATTCCCTATTGTGCTCATCTTCAATAAGATAAGAGGTTACTGAACATTTTCAGGAAAAAAAATGTATGCAGTATGAACAAGAATGTAATGTAAGTTGATTCTTTGCCTTTTACAACAGGAGATGAATAAAGAATAGAAATATGACTTTTTAAAATTGAGACAAAATACTTCCCTAAAGTTTATGGAAGAACAATTAATGAGTATACTGAACAGCGATGGTTAGAAAGATTTGAATTCCTTTGCTTTTGGAGAAGAGAGAAATTACCACTTTATAGAAGTGTTTTTATAGTTTCAGAGACATGTGTATGAGATTAGTACATTTATTTGTTTTTCATAGGGAGGCACAGTAGAAATGTCAATTCAAGCTCTGCAAATATCATCAGACACCAACTGTAAGAAACAGGAAAAAAAATAAATACCCACCTAGCTTTGCCTCAGAAGTGTCCATCTCCCATTTGCTTTTCGGAATGTAACCCTAAATCATACACAGAGAGAAGCTCGGAGGATTAGAGAGAGACACACATGCATATCACTTTTGAACTGGAAACAGCATTAAAACGGGAGCTTAAAATATTTCTTTTTGCAAGGAACAGCTCTTGTCATCAGATGAAGGAAACAAGTTACTGGGTATTTCACAACTTCCGTATCCCATTCAGTGCTTTTAGCAGCTCTTGCACATCATTACAAGAGAACTGCTCTTGGCAAACACAGAGCTCCAGGTTGAGCCTAACCGAGAGCAACAGCAGTGAAACTGTGTGCACAGTTGCTGGATTACATTATCCCAGGAGGCAGTTACGCAACACAAATTATCAGGTATTCTTCAATGCTTATAAGTACAAATGAAAAGATTAGTCATGTATTTTTAAGAGTATACTTCCAGAACAATTTACTACGCATAGGTTTCATTTAATTACCTTCTTAAAGGAACTTAAACTTACTCAGTTTTTGTATATATGGTAAGTCTACAACTAAATAAAAYTATTTTTCTAGCTTAGATAACAGTTAGCATCTGCTGAATTGGTGCGATTCAAGCATTACTGTTTATGTTAAAAAGATCTTTTTACTATACCTCAAACAATGATTCTTTCTGAACACTTGAAATAATCTATCATGATGCATTTTATATATAACATATTTAGTGAATTTATTCATTGCAAATGAAAATAAAGATCTTAAATTTGGTTAGAAAATTATTTTAGGTATTTTCTTGTAACCTTTTTATTCTATACTCATGAACAAGTAGATCCTTACCAAGCAATCCCTTATAACTAACTTTAAATTTGGCATGAAACTACTTGTTTCTCTGCAGTCAAATGAAAAGTCCAATATAATTAAAATGAACCCCTGTGAGAGGTCACAGCTTTAGGAATGATTAAGAGAGAAAAGACCTACTTCTAAGAATGCAAAAAGAGAACATATTTCATTCACAGAGAGCTTCATCACACTAAATTCTTTTCTGCTCTATTTAGAGATTATCTCCACTACAGTTAACATATACTTCTATTAATAAAAGCTAAGACTTACTAAATCTGTACACCRTTCCAGCAAGTCACACCGCTTTGGTTTGTATTCAGCACTGCTCTTCCAATAATTTTTCTATCACACATATTTGAGACTACCACAGATTATAATATTTATTATTTTTAATCAAGTATGTACTTAATATGAACTAAGACCATTTGGACTGCAATATTTCATTTGAATAAATATTTAAGTTTCATAATTATACTTTTAAACCAAGCTGCACATTAAAATTTGCTCAGAAAAACTAAGCCATAGCTAGAAGCCTCTATTGTACAAACTGATGTGCGACACACTGGTGAGAACATTAAGTTAAATGCATCAGTAATTCATACCATCAAGCACAGAAAAGAAAGAATAGTCAGTACACTACAAACAACCCTATAGGAGTTGATAATAGCAACAAAAAGTGACTTTGATGGTGTGAAATTCCCTACCGTGTGCTGAATCTGTATTAACATCCCAGTAAGAAAAGGTTCGGGATAAAAAGAAGGTTCAGACTTAATGCCTCAGTTCAAGACATTTGGATTTTTCAAGGACATTTGTCAGAAGGCAGGAGCTTCAGACCTCTCTTTTTCCACGTGATTAAGAGAAGCACAGCAAAACAAAGCAACAGATACCAAATGCAGTGTACTACTCCACCTTCCTGTCYGATATAATTCTCTCTGAAATTAGCCACATGATTGAACAGCAGAAATTACATACAGCAGATAGTTCTATTTTTCACCTCTTGCAAATCAGAATAGAAACCATTTTTATATGAAGATTTATGTGTAGGTTACTTTTAGTTACTAACCATGTATTTCATTTTTCTCCACCAAGTGTTTTCCTTGACTTGTTTTATGTGCTGTACATTAGGACACTCCCCATGCCCATAAACACACACATACACACATACATATATGCACAGGTTTCTCTCAAAAGCTGCAGACACAACTCTCTATTTTAGATATAATTCATTTTCAGGAAATAAAAATCTAGCAGCCATACTCTGGTAAATATGGATGCATCTTTAAAGTGTCCTTATTACACTTTAAGCAGTATCATATTCTATGCCAAAGAATAATTTAGTGAAGAAAACAACAGAGCCATGTTGGGTAAAACAAACAAACAAAAACCCCTTCATTAAAATCTACTCTTCCCAAGATTTATTTTTTATTCTGCACTTCAACTCTTTTCTAGACTGCCACTCATGAGGAAGAGTAAACTATAAACTTTCCTCAAGAAAACAGATTTCTTTAACCCAGACATTTTTGGTTACTTCTTGTGTATCAGAATTTAACTGCTTGATTGTGGGAGCCAGGGCTTGACGTGTCTAACATAATCAAGCACTGACCAGCTGCAGCTCCAACACACACCAAGAAGTTACCTTAGGAAGACTCCATGATCCCTTCAATAYACATCTGAAAAAGCTGGACCTCAGGGCAATTCTCTAACCTCCACTTACCCAAAAGAACTAACCCCTCAACTTTGAATTAGCTAATGACAACTAAACTAGCCAGACTTGCCAAAAAAAAMCCCATGTTTCTTCATAACTGTTGCCATGACCTGTGATAGTTGAGAAGAGTTCTTCAGACATATGGAATGAAATAAACCGAATAAATCTTTGTCCATTCCTCCCATCCCTTCGCTTGGTGAGGTTCTTAGACATCCTGATACTTTTACCTTTTCTTTTCCATGTTCCATTTCTAATCTGAAAATAATGCTACGTAATGCAATTTATAGATGTGTTCAAGAGGCATGTTTGCCATGTTCCACTAAAAAGCTGTTTGGAATATATTCACAAATAACTAAAAAAAAATGGGGGGGTTTATCTTTTAACATTAGTTTCCTTAGAAATGTGTAAGGAACGAACGACTAGATATGCATATATTAACATCGTACTGCTAGGAATGGCAATGGTTTTGAATTTATAAGATTGAGACTCTCCCTCACACATATTAACAAACATTTTGTTAGAGATGGTTGATGTGTCTCCTACCAGTTCACTCTCTTCTTCCTCTGTTGTATCCTTTTTGCCTTCCTCTTTCTGGTCTTCAATATTTGCATCAAAATCCTCCATCTCCACCTATTCCAAAACACAAACACATACATATGCTGCACTACTTGTCTAATAAGCATTATCATTTTTATCAGAGAGTAATCAGAATTACTGAAGTTCAAACAGAAGAGGAAAATGGAATGAGAGGGCTCATTCAGCAGGTATGTGCAATGATACATTATGCATGAATRCAGGAGCCATTTTTGCTTCCTTCAGAAGCAGGATCTCTTCTTGACAGAATAAGAAATTGTGTGGGAGAGCAGCAATAGTTTACTCTCCTCTTTCACATTCATTCTTTGCATTAACAATGTCTGTAACAGTAGGCACTTCCCTTGCTTCACACCCAATCACACTTGAAAAGTTCTGTCCTCTGATATCATGCACGTACTACAGAATACTCGATACTCTCAAGGCCTGGATAATTCCTCAGACCGTTAGTAAAACCTTGACGCATACATTAAACACAAATCTACATTTCTCCAAGTCTTCTTCAGAACTTACATGTTTTTCAGAAGTCTGGCTTTGTATAGTGCCAAATATAGGACAGCTATATAGGACATGGGACATATATAGGACAGCTATATAGGACAGTCCTCTGCTTATTTTTGTTCCTCCAGTTCAATCACATCTACATAGTTTATCATCTCAGAGATTCCCACCTCTTCAATAGCAGCATCTTGCAACAGAGATCGAATGTCCAGGCGCATCATGTGACGCGGTGCTGCCTCCCAGTGATCAGACATCTAATAAAAAACAYAAAAATAAAGCATCTCCAAGGACATAACAGATCTAATGGACTGTTGGGTTTCTGATTATGAATGAGATGCAACTGTACTTGAGAAAAATCATTTCAATCAACCCCATGAAATTGCTACCAGCTCTCCTTAAAAGACAAGCGTAAGCATCATGTAGTCTAAAAGAGGATGAGCACTTTCCCACAACAGCAACTCTGAAAGCACAAGGAAACCTATCCTTAATCCAATGACTCCAGAGATGTAAATGATTACCCTGTTAATTTCCTTTAACTTGCGTCCATGAATATTCCTCTTGGAACAGGTCTGGTTATCTGCACTCATTTCAGCTAAGTACACCTAGAAAGAGAAATGCAGCATTAAATCTATCTATTTTAGAACCATTTTTCTATGTGGTGATATTCTCTGCAGTTGAACATTTTAAGATTAATACATTTGTAATTATAGACAACAGTATTTTTCTCAAATGCGGGAAGGACTCGGTTTAAGTTTGGAAACACTATCATACAGGTGACTAGCAAATTCAAATGCCTTTTTAGCTCCATTACCTCAAAACCTTTAGTTTTTGCTGCACTCCAAAACTGCTCAAAGTGTCGCACTCTGTCATTGATAGCGTCAAGGATAATGAAGGGGAAAAAGCCATCATCCAAGGTCTTTTTGAAAGTTTTGAACATACTGGTACGGTAGGTCTCTTCCATTTCAGCTTCATACTCATACTCCATCACCTGAATCAAGGACAAAAACATTTAAGAAGGACACACATTAAATTGCTAACATATAAATACTTTAAGGAGGGAGTGAGGARGATGGGGTGGCCTCTTTTCAGTGGTGGCTAGCGATAGGACTAGAGGAAACAGCCACAAACTAAAGCACCAGGAGTTCCACAGGAACTTAAGGAAAAWTTTCTTAACAGAGAAAGTGACAGAGCACTAGAACAGGCTGTCCAGAGAGGTTGTGGAGTCTCCTTCTCTGGAGATATTCAAGTCCTACTTGGACGCAATCCTGAGCCATGTGCTCTAGGTGACTCTGTATCTAGACTGCATCTACACCAGARGATGTCTGAAGATCCCTTCCAAACTTAATGATTCTGTGATTCAATTGTTGAATGTCACGAGCCCAAAAAACATCCTCCAAGTCATTTTAAGAACCTGCACAGTCTGTCCTTAAATTAAATTTGTTCTGAAAAAAAGCTCTGCACACTTTCAAAGCAATAGACTGAAATTTTAATTGCCACTGTGTTGTTCCAGAATGTCTTGTTTATTTTTCAAGTACCTTCTTTTTCACTTTTTTCCCTGTATCTGGGTCTCTCTCTTCTTTTTCTACTTCAGTGATGAAGTAGTCATCCAAGCTGAGCACTCTTGGTGCAGGTCCTCCACACTCTACTTCCTTATCCTGGGAAAAAAGCAAAGCAAACAAACAAAAAACATATACTCTTGCATAACTGTACAAATGCTATTTTGCTGTAAAGGGTCCCCAAAATACCTTTGGCACAGAGCAGTTATCTGCTCTATAATCAAAACAAGAAGAAAGCTGCATTCCTAAAACCTGCTACTAGTGAAGGCACATGTCATGTGGAGACATGGGGCATGAAATAACTACAGGTTGAAATTTCAGGTCATTATTTTGTTTCTTCAAAAAGTTTAACTTAATTTCTTCTTTTGCATATTGGACACTCAGATAGTAAATACCAGAAGCAGCAAGCACAAAAGAACAGCAGCACTACAGAGTGAACAGCCGGTTACGTACCCGGATGAGTTTTGCTACATGTGTCTTTCCACTGCCAGGCAATCCTCTCATGATGATTACAATCTGAAACAAAGATCATATAAGAGAAAGTAAGAGCACATACCGCATACTTAAAAGGGACTTTTATTAAAAAAAAAAATAATAATGCTCTGAGCTCACAATTTTTTCACGTCACACAAAGCCAGCTCCATGCCTCACTGCCTGTTTCACAAACCAGGTTATGACGAACAGCAGTAGTTCCACAGAGGTAATAACAGTACATGATGTTAATAATCTCAACAACTAAAAATGGTTCAGATTAACTGTACAAATTTTAAGTATTTTAGGAGCCTGAATCTTGTTCTTTCTGCTTTTCCTACAGTGACTGCAAACTCTCGGCATCTCTCTAATAGCAAATCTTTCCTCTGATACATGAAAAACCTAAAGTGAAGTTCTCAGAAGCATACAAATATATAAATATTATCAACTAGTAAGAATTTTATCCTAGCATTTCTAGAGGGTTTCTACTCCTATAGACTCCTTACAGATATGCTACAAAACTCTAGGCATTTGCAAATGAATAAGCAGGATTTCCAGTGCTACCCCAAAGGTACACTTTTTCCTAATATCCTGCACAAATTAGAATGTTATCTAAATACTGACCCTGGAGAAACCAACTGCTGGGCTCAGAATGCATACTCACTCTCTCTGGCCTACTGTCTCGTCCTGGAGGCTTCAAAATATCATCTACATTTTTAGATTCTGGCTTTTTTTCCACTCGTGGAGCAGGTGGTGGCTGACGAGGTATTGATGGAGTAGAAATAGGAATCCTTTCCTCAGGGTAATTTCTGCGATCACCTTCAGATTTCAGCAATTAGACAGAAGGGTAAAAAAAAAAAAAAAAAAAAAATTTAAGACACTCATGATTGGTCAAGGTCTTTTAAACAAACGCTCAATATTTTAGGAAAGATTCATGGATGTCTCCCTGAAACAATTCAAACTTCTAACTCTGGAACAACTGCAAATCAAAGGTTTATTTTTTATTTGTTTTTTTTTTAGCAGACTAGCTATTTGTTTCTTTACTGATCTCATCACTATGGAGAAACAGAAACCTCTATGGCACTACCCAAATAAAATTTGCTGAATTTTATACTCTAAAAGAAATACTGCAATTGAACCAATCTCCTCCTAACTCCACCTGTAAGTCCACATTTTTCATAATACGACATCAGGACTGAGAAACCATACCTCCAAACACGGAAGGCCCGTGCTCATATGCGGGACGGTCTGTCTTTCGTTCATAGGGGGGTCTTTCAAAACCACCTCGCCTGGASGAGGGATGATCTTTCTTGTCACGGTAAGACTGAGTCCTTGTAGGTGTAGTAGGAAGAATCCTGCCAAAAGAGTATTTTGTGCATTTCAAGGATTCTACTATGGATTCCAGAGATAAAGAACATGCGTCTCACAGTCAAAACTGATAGTCTGATAACCAGTACAGTTTGAACCAGACTGATGTTAGCTGTATATTCCAAAACCACATACCTGTCATCTCGAGGATGACGCTCTTTTTCAAATCTCTCTCGCTCATAGTCCACAGAGCCACGGTCTCTGTGCAATTCCCGYTCTCTCTTGAAATCCCGGTGATCCGTGTTTGAATTACCTTGACGTTCAAAATATGGCTCACGATCCCTGTCTCTGTTGTAACGATCCCGCTGGTTGGGGTGGTCTGAAAGGAGAACCCCACGGAAATCAAAACAAGTAAAATGTATCCTGAACATTTTATCTTCTTTGAAGGAAAAAAAATAACAAGGGAGTGCAGGAAAATACAGAGAAATATATGACATAGGGCCAGAATGAATTTACTCGACCACTGAATCTCCTTCCAAGCTGTAACAGACAGCTGCATCATGTAATCCTAATTAAAATAATCACATTGCATTTTTAAAAAGGTGAAGTCATTGATCACAGTACTTCTCTTAACAATATAACGTGTCATCTTTATAGGCTTCTGAAAAAAAGAAAGCAGTTCTGTCTTTAAAAAAGTTACTTATTTTAAAATACGCTTTTAGCCTCTGTCTACTACTCTTAAGAGSTAAGAGCTCTCAGATTAGCTGTCTGAGAGCCAGTCAAGAGARTCAAGCACTCCCTACCTTTTTGAAATGTTTGCCTCTCTGGCAGAGGTTCTGGACGCAGAGTCACCCTCTCCCCATATGGAATCTGCTCCACTTTGCTGGTCGTTATATCTGGTTAAAAATAATCAGAAAAATAATTAAGGATAATCTTAAATTACCCCTTTTCTATCTCCTTCACGCTGTCATGAAAAGCAATCATTCTTCAGAACCGGAATTTTATCTCCCTCCCTCTTTGGAGGGTCTTCCGTACCCATTAGGCAGTATATAAATAACRAAGTATTCAGAGTGTTTAATGTTACTATTTTGCACCTAAGAACTATAACAATCCAAAGAGCTTTTTAACATAGATATTTCCATACATTGCTGTAAATGGAGTAAGAGAAACTACCAATATCAATCTAAATATCCATCTCCAGGTGAGGAGGAACTTCTTTACTGTTAGGGTGACAGAGCGGTGGAACAGGCTGCCCAGGGAGGYTGTGGAGTCTCCTWCTCTGGAGGTCTTCAAAACCCGCCTGGATGCCACCCTGTGCCACATGCTSTAGGTGTGCCTGCTTGAGCRGGAAGGYTGGACTAGATGATCTCTAGAKGTCCCTTCCAAACTTGAATATTCTGTGATTCTGTGAAATATAATATGTGGAAGTGATCACCTCAACTGATGTTTATGAGAAGCAGATGTGGCTCTATACCGTTCAGTCCACGAGATAGCTCATTTCCACAGCTTTGAAGTGAACATCAAACTCAAGGCTGTAAATTACTCAAGTGGGGAAATTAGAGAGAGCTCTTTGGCTCCTTAAAACCAAGTAGCTTAGCATTAGATCATGAYGTATACAGCCTGTAGGCTAACAGAACATTATAGAGGGCACGCTTTGGGTGGCACGCAAGGAAGTGGCGAGCACCTCTAACTGGCTCTGYATTAATAAATAAATCAATAAATACATTCTACTACTCACCCCGCCCATGGCCATAATCCACGGTTTGCTGGATTATAGGTGGTTTAGGAACTGGTGGAATAACTGGAGGAAGTGAAACTGGTACACCTGATGGAACAGAGCTGTGAGCAGCAGGTACCTTCACAGGAGAGGATACTGACGGAGGCATCATTGATTCTTGCTTACATAATTCGTACTCCATATTAGCTCCTTTATCCTCATTTGTGTCCCAGAGTCCATGGAAGGAATCCTCATCCCAGCGTTCCTGTTTCACAGCAGAAGGTGATGGTTTTAAAGGCAGACCATGATTTGGGTTTGTAGTTGGAGTAGGAACTGGAGTATGTGGCCTTGTCAGTGGGGCAGTTCTCATCACAGGGGTGGGCTGTCTGAACAACATGGGGGGCTTTATAATCACAGCAGGAGACGCTTTAATAGCCTGGGCTTCTACGGGTATCTCTGAAGAGAGCTCAGAGGAAACTTAGATGCAGAAAGCACTTTAGATACGGATATGTAAGCTAACCTTCTCTCTCTCTATGCAAGAAAGCACAGTGGCAATCTGTAACCGTACTGTCAGCTCTTCCTAGTACCTCCATCAAGGTACTACAACAAGAAAACCTATTCCAAGAATGGGCAGTCTGAATTAGGTGATGAYTGTTCACTAAATGAAGGCCAAAATACTATTTTCTCTTTCAAAATAACCTTATCAATTTAAGCTCTCAAGACCTGTCTCAGTTCGAAAGTGTCTACTGTTTGATTCCTGAAGACTCCAGCGAGTCTCAGCGAGAAGGCTGAAAAGGCCCAAAAAGCAGGACAGCTTGGGACAGGACAGACAGAAAAGGTTGGAAAGGGCCAGCTTCTTTCTGGAAGCCACTGGAAAAATTCCACAGAGACCAGTATCACTGGGCAGGAGCTGCCAGRTAAAGAAAATACCCCTTCATGACTTAAACCTAGTTACTGTGTCACAGGAATCTCTCTGGCTTCATAGTATAGTTACAGGCGGCTGCCTGTATAGGAGCAGCATTCGGAGAATGCCTGCAGATACAAGAGGGCCTCATCAGGGCAGTTTGTCCAAGTCCTGGCAGAAATGTGAACACAGGAATCCCAAGAAAGACAACAGACATTTGAACACAGCTAGGCAGATGGGTGGCATAGAGAACACCAAAGCTGGGGTATAAAATGACTTCCTAAAGGAAGCAGCAGTTCTTGATAGAAAACCTATTCCATTATTTTATTTTATAGGCATTATAAACAAGGAAGAGGTCAACTAGGCAAAACTGAGAGCATTCTGCTTTATTCACTGCATGCCACTTCTCTGGAGAGAAGGACAAGCAAAGCTTTGTCATGCTAAGCATTAGGCTCAGGCATCTATGAGGTATATTTATCAGTAATAATAAATTTATCAGTAATATGAGGGTTAAGATGCAATGAGGAATACCCAAGACTCTGCACCAATTCAGGAATCTCCTCCAACACACATTTAACAAAACAGTTTATTCATTTGATCAGGGATTTATAAATGTGAGTAAAGATGGCAACAAGAACAAGTTCCTTCRGCAGCACAAGTTCTGACCAGATATGGTTTATCAAAATCCAAATGTAAGGAGCCAAGATAAGATTTGAGAGTTAGGCAGCAAAGGAATACCTTGCACGGGAACAGGAGAGGAAATCCTGGAGGCAGACAAACATGAGCCTCCATGCACTTCACGATATTCCAGAGGGCAACTAGAATTCCCAGCAAAGACAGCAAACAASCAAAGGCTAACGCACTCTTGGCGGAAATATGCAAGTTTGATAGAACTGTTAAGACCTCAACTTTCTTGTTCAAGCTTTTAGATGAGAAAAGAGCTTTTAGATTAATTAAAAGGAGAAAAGCAGAGCAAATCTGGATTCAAACACAGTATCAGAATGAGGTGGTAAGTGTTGCTGAAGAGTTATTCCCCAGGGAAGTTTGACCCTCAAAAATTCTGCTTTCATAACACGGAACACGGATGTACAGGCAGCATCCCTTGGAAAGTCTGCAAGGATTTCTGRAGCAGAGGGAGAGTCTAACTTCTGGCACTTATCTCACAGTGTGAGCAAACAGGCTAGGCCCAGAGTTGCAGCCCTAAGGCCAGCATACGACTGGTTTGATGAGATTTTCTTTCAGTACTCAYTCCATACAGAGATGCCTCAGAGAACATGGAAGGAATTGGAATTTAGATTTCTTTCTYCTAGCAAGGAAAGTTTCTTCCAGAGACCAGCCCCTATTTTCTTTTTCCTAAGTGCAATTCTTCAAGATAGCTCAGGGATGCCACTAGGTAGTTCATCTGCAAACTGATTATTTCTGAAATTGAACTTACAGACATCACCAAAAGTCATTTTTAGAAGTGAGGAAACTGCCCTTTTTTATCATACGATTTAACACATCAGTAACAYCTGCCTGGAGGATACTCTATGCCCAAGCAACGAAGATGGCAACAGTGCTATGTGGATTAGAAAACTTGCCACTCTCGTAACATGGGGTCTGAAGCAGACCAGTGAGAAYAAAGCCACAGAGCAACAACCCAAAGAAAAAGCCTCAGGGTTCAGGAGAGTTGTCAACTGAGAGCTAAAGTTTAGGACAACAGGAGGAAGTTCTTAAGGATTGAAAACAATTAACAGTGAGACAAAACAAAAAAAAAAAGTCTGACATATGTTTGCAGTTTATCCAAGTATAGTTCTGTGAAATTTGACTAAGTTCTAAGTAGAATTTTTACTGGTTCTTAGTCACTTTGCTTAGTTTAATTCTTTGGAAAATATCAAGAGGGCAGCATGGACSCAGGATATACATTAACAGTGATGTTACCCATGTTACTAATTTAATATAAGATTAAATTACCTGAAAGGCACCTGGCCTTGCGTTCGTGTTCTGTGGTCGAGGAGAGTCCTGTGTTGAAAGGTCAGGGTCAAACTCTTTCAACTTCTGTAGCTGTTCTTTTTGCTCTCTGAACATGAACCACAAGGAAGGGTTATCAGCGTGTAGCTTAAATGAAAGCTCAAAAGATTTAGGAGATCAACATTCACAGTGAAAACAACATAGTGCAGTAGTGTTAGGGMCAAGTCCAAGCAGGAAAAGGTAACAGCCAGTCTCTATATGGTCAACACTATGATTCAGAAATCCCCAGGGTTTGTACTCACCTAACCATGGAGGTATTTAAAAACACTAGCTGTCTCCTCTCTGGATCATAACATTTCTTTGAGACCTTTAGCTGTCCTGCTGTGCCTGGCACAAGCCTCCAAAGGGCAAAGCTTGCCTTCTGCCCCTGCCAAAAGCCCCTGCAATCCTCGAGGCCACCGGAGACGTGTGTCCATGTGCTCTCCCATTGACTTGATCCTGGTTACATGCTGACAACACTGAGGCCAACAACGCACGCCATAAGACTCTGACCTTTTAAACCGAAGTAAYGACACTACCTTTTGTTTAATATACTATTTAATATACCACCCATAGTCTATGAAGCAGAGAGCAGGACCAGTAGTGAGTAGCAAAATCACCAGATTACCAAATGGTGTGCAATAGGACTCCCCTTCCTTTCACTTCTTCGTTCTCTTTGCTACTGCTACTCCCTCTCTCCAGATCAATTGTGCACATTGAAGCAGTGTCCAAAGTAAACTAGGAATGGAGCCTGCATGCTAGGCACTCCRGAGATCACCACGAGCAGCAGGGCATCTGCCCAGTGCTCAGCACAGAGGAAACCCAGCTCACAGGGAGGAATCCCAAGTGCCCCGTTACTACAGAAAGCAAAGGGTGCAATTGTGAGCAGTCTTCTGTACACCTGCCTCCCCGGGAAGATATGGATCCAGAAGCGCCCATGCAGCTCAGAGTATGCAGCATAAACACAGCAAAAGCAAAGGCAGATGAGGATGTTGGAATAGTTATGCCCTGATCTAACTCCCGACTCCAAAACCACTATAAGTAGTTCCCTTATTTTCAGGTTATTCCTGCTGTTCAGACAGGGTCAGTCACTCAAAAGAACCTGGTAAGAAGTGCTAGTTTAACCATTTTTAAAAGACTACTCTCCTCACATTAAGTTTACAATTATAGAAAAATTATTCATTAATCTCATGAGTATAATTCCTCTTTATACGTAACTTAGGAAGAGGTGCATATACACACACACAATGTATATAGAATATATAATATATACATTATCAGACTCTGTGTTTAAGTATTTCAGCCCTTAATAATGATGCACTGAGACAGATTCCCAAACCATAGTGCACTTTGTTGTACGGGCTTGCAGTCAACCACATTAAACAGTAAGATATATACCTGGCAATCCAGGGACTGAGCAGAAAGTGAGAAACTTGAAAACAATCCTTTATCCAAGGCATTTGCCAAATACTGCTTTACAAGACAAGTTTTGTTGTTATGAACACTCACTTAACCTGATTACAGAGATGAARTAAATTCTTCTGAATAACTGTTATCCCCTAAAGTTCTTTTCCTTACACTTCTGTGTGCAACTAAGACCTTCCATATGGAACAGACACTTAGTTTTCTTGTCTAAAACCGTAATTTTCAAGAAGATTGGAAAAATGCACCTTTTAATATGGTTAAATATAACACCAATTGTAAACATTCACTGCAATAAATCATTACTTCAGCATTAAGTACTTAGCTTGCRAAGTTGAAATCCTGTCTTTTCCAGTTACCAATTCTTAGCTATCTCTCAATAATTAATCAATAGGTTCAACMTCTCTCTGGGGTGATTCCTCTCTTCTTTACAGCCTCCCCTGAAATATCTCATTTAGTGAAAGTAGAGCAATAAATTTATCTTTTCAGCTTTCTTATGAATACAATGAATACACCTATACCCATACATCAAAAACAAAGAAAACACCTGGTGTATGTTCTTTTCCGTCTTATATTCCCAACTTTACTGAATTTTAGGACACKGGTATTTTTTTTTCTCCAAAATAAGCAGCAGAATGTCTATTTAACAATCTATTAAAGCTTTGGAAAGCCTAGTAGCTGCTTTTAAAAACGAGATACTGGCAAACTCTGGCATTCTAAGATTGTCCTGCATTTATACCCTCCTGGTTGTCTATGACCGCTATTCTGATTCATTAAGCTTGACAAAATTATTCACTTAGGGGCACTGTAAAAAACAAGTGACTAAAGCTGGTTTAATTAAAGGGCAAGCAGAAAACAAAAGCCAAATAGGTCGCATCTTGTGAAAGAACCAGTTTACTGTAGATCTTAACACCTAGGTGTTAAGCAGCAGTTGTCAATAAGCTCTCCTGAGGATAATGAAAAGATTAGTCAGGTAAAACAAACAGATCTGTTCTTGAGAAGTAACAAGTGTGGAATGGCCTAAGGGCAGTGGGGCCTCTACTGCCTTAGTTAAGGAAAAAGGCCACCCAAGAAAGCATTGATAGAGATACTCCACCAAATAACTGGTTCCATACAAGCTCCTATGGCAAAACATAGCAAACAAAAAGCCCCTAAAAAATCCACGACTTGGTAAGCCAAGGAATGAATTAGGAAAGGTGCCTCATCACCACACSGTTCTGATAGCTGTGCTTTAGTAGGGCAGTTGCTGAGGAGGAAAGGAACATACTTCAGGAGGACAAGCACCAACAGCATCAGGCAACAGGTTCTTGTGGCATCTACCTTGCAACTCCAATTACCAAATAAATGTCCAAACTGGAGATTTCAAAGCTTGCTAAGGCCATGAATTTTACAAGTATAAACCAGGGCATTTTTTTTCCAATAAAATTGTGAACATTATTTTCAGACTTGGAAAAAACGAGTAGGTGAGACACAGTGAACTCCTGGAAATGGAAATAAATTTGTGGCAAACGTGTCTTAGTCTAAGTGCCTTGTTCCACATCAGTCACTTGTCCTACTCGCATATAATGTGTGCTTCCCTGCAGGGACACAGCTTCATAGCAGATGTCCAATTTTTCACATAAAGTTCTGATACAACATCAGGATAATTTTAAACAAAAGATATTTGAAAATGCTAATTTTCATATGTGAAATTTAATGAAAGAAGCAAATATCTATAAATRTGTTACCTATGCATGTGTATTATGCTCTTTGAGAAAGGCATGAAGAGAACATACTGAACAGTTAAAAAGAAACCGTGTGAATCTCTAAGGCAGCTCAATCCTGGCAAGACCTTGAAAACTTCATTGGTATCCAAATTGCCTGAAGAACAGGTTAAAACTACAATACAACCGATTGGCCAGTTTAGCAGATGAAATTGTAGGGAGGATTCACAACCCAAGGAAAGCTTAAGGACCTCAAAGTTTACCTACTGCTGGTCAAGCAGGATTTTTTCATTGGAAGGAAAGACAAAGATGAGGGAGTCAACCCATTTTAACGTACTAATGCTTCGTAATAAACATTTATCATAAAGATGCCCAGAAAGAAATTACTGGYCCTTGCATAATAACACACAACCAAAGTACACCAGCTCAAAACTCTAAGATACATGCAGCAACTATCAAAATGGATTGAAAAAAAAACAGTGATAGGAACAGACAACTCGAGACAACTCACCGAAGCATTTTGAGCTCCTGGGCAGCCTTCAGAATGATCTCATGCTGTCTTTGGCTGAGGACCATCACTCCCCCCAGCGACTGCTCAGAGTCCAGGTTTGAATCCGTTCCCAGCATGTCAGAGGAATGCGAAGGGGGAGGAAGGGACGAGTCTAGCTGATCATCRAGGGGTCGCAGCCTGTCCGTGTCATCCGGGTACCATCTCTCGGACAATCGCTCTCTCTCCCAGTCCGTCCTTTCAGGCAGGTATTCCTGCTTCTCCCGCCACGTGTCGTATCTCTCTGGGTACTCTCGAACCCTTAGTTCCCCCCTATCTCGGAGGTCTCTGTCGTAGTGATCCCTATCCCTATCATCCCTCCATCTATCTTCACGGTATCTGTCCAGAGGTGGAAGAGGTGGCAAGGAGGGTATAGGAGGGATATCCATGTCACGATTCCCCATTTCTCTGTCATCTCTATGTCTCATGTCCCAGTCTCTATCCCATTCTCTGTTTGCCTCTTGATCATAAACATCTGAGGATCTTCCAGTCCTGTCCAGATCTCTATCTAGTTCCCGTTCCCTTGGCCTTTCCCATTCATCCCACCATGAATCTCGCCTGTCCTGATCGGATGATAAAGGAGGCAGTGGTGGTAGAGGAGACAGTGGCGGCCCTGAATGGTGGGAKGGTAACCTGTCATCTCTGTCGTAGTGATCTACAGAATCATCACGATAATCCGAGTTCTGCTCTCTCCAGTAATCTTCTCTTCCCCAATCATCTAGTCGTTCATGCTCCAAAGGAGCATCTTCACTATCCAAAGGAAATTCCTCCTGCATTCCCTCATCTTCCTGACTCCAAGAACCCCTGAAYGCATCCTCTCGATGGTACGGAGGCAAGTTGTCTGAATCATCTCCCAGGTGAAGGGCCTTATCCGTATTGCTTCCATCACCCCGACCTCCCTCCCTTTCCCGGCTGCCTCCCCGCCTCATGGGCCCCCTCTCCCGGCTACCTGCCCGCCTGACGGGACCCCTTTCCCGGCTCCCTGACCGCCTGACGGGRCCCCGTTCCCGGCTGCCCGCCCGCCGCATGGGGCCCCGCTCCCGGCTCCCCGCCCGCCGCACGGGCTCCCGCTCCCGGCTGCCCGGTCGCCGCATGGGGCCTCTTTCCCGGCTGCCCGCCCGGCCCCTGTCCCGGCTGCCCGGCCGCCCGGGGAGCTCTCGGTCTCGGCTGGACATGACCCTCTCCCGGCTGTCTGACCGTCCACCCAGGCCCCTCTCCCGGCTGCCTGACCGCCCATCTGGCATCCTCTCCCTGCTGCCCGAGCGCCTCTCCGGCATCCTCTCCCTGCTGTCTGCTCTCCTGAACATGCCCCTGCCACGGAAGGGCCTGCCCTGGCCTCTTCCCCTGTACATGTACCCCCTGCCACGGCCGTCGTCCATCCTGCCCATTCCCCTTCCGCGGCCGTCATCCATCCTGCCCATTCCCCAGCCGCCGTCCATCCTGCCCATTCCCCGGCTTCCGTACATCCTGCCCATCCCTCGGCCGTCCATGCCCCTGCCTCGGCCCATTCCCCAGCCACGGTTGTCTCCGTAGCCTCTGCCCCGGCCGTCATCCATCCTGCCCTGCCCTCTGCCTCTGCCTCCCGGGCCCTTGCCTCTGTCTTCATGCATATATTGCCCTTTGCCTCTGCCTTCTGGTCCAGGCAGGCCCTGGCCGCTGTCTGAAGCGAGCAACTCGCTGTCCGTGGAACTCAAATCCTGAGTTCCTGTTACAGGGGTCACTGCTCCTCCTGCTCTTGTAACACCTGACTGCAAAGCTACGGGATTATTAGAAAGGGATGCTGGCTTCTGGTTCTGAATAGGTGAAGCAGTCGCCGCGGACTCTTCTGCTTGCTGGTTAGGATCATGYGAACTCCATGTCCACTTTTTAGGAGGGTCTGAAATAGTTTCTTTGACCTCAGCTTTGCACGGTTCCTGCTCGCTGTTGCTCAGGTCCTCGCTGGGCTCTGCACAACCTGCACCTTTTGTATCAGGAGCAGACGGAGCTTGAGGCAGAGCCTGCTGATTCCCAGCGATRTCTGTGAAAGGCTCTTTGCTTTCCGATCGCGAGTCCGCCTGTGAATGCTGCTGTCCAAAAGGAGGCCTGGGTCCCCTCCACCGGGGACCCCCAGGTCGGGACCCATGTGCATGGGATGTATTTGAGGAAGTATAAAATTGTGCTGCTGGTCCTCGTGGAACAGGCCCCCACCTACTCGAAGAGTGTCCGTCYGTGTTATGTCTGTCGAAACGTGACCTGTACCCCTCGGAGCGCTGCGAGTCAAAACGAGGCCCCCTCTGCCTGGAGCCTTCGAATTTATCATACCCTCTTCCTCGAGGTCCATCAAACCTACATAGGAAATAATGATAATTTTAGTCAAATGAGCATCTTAAAAAAAAGCAGCTCCTTCCTAGAAAATTACTTTTATATCCTAAGGCCTTAGGATCGAACCCTATGGAAATTGCCCAGTAACAGAGACAAGGTGGTCAGTTCAACATTGCCCAGTGAAGAAGAGTTTATGTCCCTTGTGTGTCCAGTTTATGCAGCCCTGAGGGCAAAGAAACTTGCCTTAAACATCTCAGGATTGAAACCTGACTTCAAAAGACAGCAAATTCATTTGGAGAAGGAAGAAAAAAAACACATATTTGACTTGTGTTTTACAAAACTTTAGTGGAATCCCGCAACTTCTGTTAAATTTTTGTTTTGATAATGTTCAACCAGCCTGCTTAACTACAATGATGAACCCAAAATCTATGAACACAGTCCTTTCAGAAAGCACAGCAAATAATCACATTGCYCAGATTTTTTTAGAGCTTCTTGGCTAGTTGGTAAAAAAGTGTGTGGGGGAGTGTCTTTTTATACACCTATGCATTATCTTGGGACTTCTTAGCTGACATGATACTACATCATGCACTTAACATTAAAATATCCAAAGTTCAATTAAAAATTCATTAGGGCTCTTTTATAATTCCTATATTGAGAACAAACAGTAAAGAGATGTCTGGGAAGGCTTTGACAACATTTTAGTCTTGTCACGCAAGGGAAATACYGTGTTAATTCAGTACTGTAAACATGCTCAGAATTAAAGCTATGGCATTTACTTTCTATGAATTTGGTTCTAGGGTAACAAAATACAGTGCTCTAAACCAACATACTAAGTGACATGCAGTTGCAAATCATAAATACAGTCTAAGAACTGCATGTSCAGAAATAACTTTTTTAAAACCATGAGGAGGTAAGAAATGTTTCCAAGTTATAACAGATTCGTTTACATTACTAGCAATTAATGGCTGGCTTTGTAAGAAAAGGGAGACAAAACAACATGAAATTATGATTGTGGAATTTAGTAGAACATGAAATACAGAAATCATGACTGTGGAATCTAGTAGAACATAAAATATAGAAATAATTTAATAGAACAATATTTTTTTCAGGCTGTTATTTCACCAAGCATAAAAAAAAAAAAACATTCTAAAAGCATGATCTTGGATTAAACCTTGTAGTGGATGTAAAGCCACATAAATGTTGGCTTTTAGGGTTGCTTTAAATTGAGCCAGCAGGCCAGCCAACAAAGATTAAAATTTGAATAGAACTCTATCTACCCACAAAACCTCTATCTTTCAAAACCAAGATCACTGTGATATGTTACAAATCAAAAAAATGGCAAATAATTCTAACTTTAGGCTAAGTCTAAAATCTTCATGACCCCTCTCCCCTTTATCTCAATGATAATTATTTGAATGCTATGAAGAAAATCACTGATTTCTACTTAGAGAAGTAGTGCTTGTCTTGTTATTGCAAAGTCACTTAGCAAAGCGTTCTGAACAGGGCAGTCGCACAGCTGCACAACTCTCCCACAACACCAGAAATTAAAAGCAGACAGCTCTGAAATTCCCATTTCACGTCTCATCCTTCTGCAACCCCAGTGAGGTTCACACTCAGCTGAATACCTTCGGAATCTCTTTCAACGTGCCTGTATTAAAGCATTATCATTTACCTACACGGATATTATGTCTTTTGGAATATAATGGGAGCAGTGTGCCTAGGCATTTTACGAGAGAGAGAAAACCAAGCAAAATAAATCCAAACAAACAAACGAACGAAGAGATTTATCCTAGGCAATTTTATCTTTGCTTTAGTAAGTTAAATACCGATAAAGGTGTGTRGCATACACACCTTTAAAACAAATCCACAAGGGGAAAAAAAAAAAGCACTTCACACAGCATGAAGAAGATGTGAGGACAAGGCAAATATCCCTGAGAAGCTTCCAGCCTGGAATGTGTATAAATCAGCCGAACAAAAAACTCCCTTACCTAGGACCTCTGGGGCCTTCAAAACGTGCCCCTCTGGGAGGGTCTGGAAGCAATCCACCTGATCTCACTGGTTTATCCTGCATGGTAGATGCATGTGTTGAAGACATAGAAGAGGTTTTCAGTTCCACAGATCCTTGCTCAGATGAAATAGAGACAGTTTGCTTACTATGGTGAACTTGAGAMTTCCCATGGTCTGAAGAGCCAAAAGATGAACTTACTTGAGAATGGTAAGATGAATATACAGGTGAACTAGCTATTTTTGATGCATAGGTACCAGGGGTGGGAAGCAGCGCTGGCCTAGGTGTCTCAGTAGATTGACTGCTTTGAGAACTGGATCCTGAAGGAACAGAGGAATTAGACATCTGAGGCCCAGAAGAGAGAGGTGGGGGAACCAGTGGTGGTGTCGTTGAAGGTAAGGTTGGAGGCATAATAGGAATGCCACCTTGAGCAGTTTGAGAATATGGAACAAATGGAGGTGGCAGCGAAACATTTGCAGGGTACTGAGTCTTCAGGTTTTGGAGCGAGTTCACTTTCTCCTGCAGATGAGACTGAGTCACCTTCATCTGCTCATCCCACGCTTTCCACTGTTTTTCATACTCCTGGAGCTGGTCTTTGTGAGGGTAGGTCTGAAGCTGATGCTGCCACTGTTGGTTCATCGATCGCTCCCAATCTTTGTGAAGCTGCTGGAACTGTTTCTGCTGTCCCTCATAATGTCGCAGCTGCATGTCCACTGACATAGTCTGCAAAACAGAGGAGGGAATTTATTCAGTGCAGCCTCTTTCCAAACAGGGCACAACTTTCATTAAAAATAGATATAGACACTAATATCCCACAGACTTGACCTCATCTGAGATTTTTAGAGATTACTCTAACAGATTTTTTAAAACAAGGGAACAGCCCAAGCTATRAAGAAATGCTTAACGTGCAGATTCTCCCAAAGCAGAAAAAGCCAACTCAACTATCTAACACTAATTTATGCAACTAATACTAACTTATGCAACTATCTAATACTRACTTACGCAATCAGAGCAGCAATCAACTTCTAATGAAGTACTTAAAGACTGTTAATAGTCATACATTTATCTAAGCTTGTTCTTAAGAATATGCATTTTTTAATTTGTGCTGATCATTTGCATCAAAAATAAACAGTGACAGTGATTTCCTCAATTATTTTAACTGAAGATTTTTGGCATCTRTGTTTACTTCATCATCATTATATATCACTATTTTTGTATTGCACGATGTTGTAAAAAATGGCACTCTACCCATGCAAACATCTCATTACCTGACCTTTTTTGTGAACTATTTCTCCAGCAGTAAAATACTCAAAGTTGAGCAAATTCAGTACTGTGTGCATACTGTGACACTCAGCTTCYTCCTGCATCACCCAGGTATATCTGAAAATCCTTGGCCAAGTACAAAGTCTTGTATTTCTCATCCCATAGAAGCTTCAACCAGCATCTTGTTTGTTTGTTTGAAGTTGAGCAAGAATAGGAAAAGGGGATATAATCTCTTGCCTATGCATAAGAAGGAGCTAAGCGAATGAGCCAACCACATCAGATTATTCAGCAGATAATGAGTGTTAGCTCATTCAGGAATTATTATCAAATGCAGTCTCCTCAGTGGTTCACCTGTAAGTGTGGAGGCTGTTGCATAATCTGTTGATACTGTTGTACTATCTGCTGCAGCTGGGCATGCTTCTGCATTATTCTCTGATACTGAAATCCAACTCGGTGATGGGGATGCTGCTGCCACTGAGCTGCTGCTGCTTGCAACTGCTGCAATCTCAAATCTTCCTCAGGGTCATCAGGAGGTTCAATATTGAGCTAAGGAAAAAGGCAAATACTATAAAAAGGGAAAGCCCCTTTTGTCAGAACAGAAAATGCTCTGTCTCTATGCAGTTAGCAGGAATGTCCTGAGTGTTTGTTACTCTGTCACTCGGTATTTCACTGCTCCGGCCACTCAAAGCTGCCGGAAGGTTGATTTTGCTTTCATTTATTTTTAATATGAACAGTGAGATCTAAAAGCCAGGCTGACTGGAATGAAGACTTTCATACATACAGAAGGTACCTACAGGTAAGATATTAATGCAGATCTGCTCTAATTTCTCACAGCAAATGTAAATAGAAAGGTGCACTTTTTCAAGAGGAGCTAAAGCAGCTCTGAGTGCCACATGGTAGGAAGCTGCCCAATGTCAGTTAGTGCAGCAGGGTATGTATAACCACACAGAGATCTGTTCAAACCCCACAGCTCCATGTACTACTACTGTTGTAACTGCTCATAGGGACATAAGCACACTGACAAAAAATATTCTGTGCAAAACTCTTGACTTTCAGACAAATGATAGATAATACAGAGAAAGAAGGGGAGACAGAATAAAGAAACTGCCAGGAAAGAAGAAAAAAATGTGTCTAAAATGCAGCATTCCTTGCCTACTGAATGCTTGATTTTGCATTTCATAATTCGTTATGTATTTGTTGTAGCCAAAGATGACATTGCTGGGGAAAGCACGAGTCAAGCTCAGCATGTGTGTGGCTGATTATGCAAGTCTACAGGTGAGCGGCATATACTATTTTTAATTAGTGAAGACTTAATGAATGTTCTTTTAGATAGCTTTACCACATTTAGATACTACTAAAGTGCATACCTGAGAGTGATGGAATTACTTTCAGCTTTTTGTGTTTTCTCAGCTATCATAACATACGGAGCAGCACCTCTTTACAAAGCCTACCTGGGTTTCAGTGGAGGTAAGAGAAGACTCATCCTCTTTGGAAGATGGAGGCAGAGACTCGCTTAGTGGAGGAGGCTCAGACTGCGGAGTTGAAGCACTCATTTTCCCTTCTTCAGACTTTCTCTGCTCAGATGTGTCCTTGCCCGCTCCCGGACCTTTCATCTGCTGCTGCCCCTGAGCATGGGCTTTTGCCCTCTGCTGCAGGCTAAGCAGGTGCTGCTGATACCAGTATTGCTGCTGTTCCTACAATAAACAACAATTCTCAGACAGCTTTCATGGAAAAGGCAAGAAAATCAATTCAAGAGAGTCACCGGAATCACGCGGAAGAAACATATTCCAAAGAAGTGTTTATACTTGTTCTGATGGAGAGCTCACTTCATCATCATCATCAGTACTGCACTGAAGGTCAAAAGATCTGATCAAAACTTAGATACCACTATGTGAGGCAGAGCACACACTGTAGATTTTGTTTCCTATCCCAAAGAGCTTAAAGATAAGAACAAGAAAAAGCAGAAAGGTGGTTAATAATAAGCTGAATTACTACAGGTATGTGATAGGTAATACAATTATTGTTTTTTATGCTTTTTATTCCTAAAATATGCATCCCATATGCATTTATTATGAGACTAATTTAGGTGAAAAGAAGGGCAGTCAGAGAGCACAAAAGTATGAACAATGCAGTAATAACAAGGAAGAAATGTACAAAAAACCAAAAATATGAACGGAGAATAACACACCAAGTAGAGTGAAAATGACAGCAGATAATTGCGACGGAGATATTTGGGGAGGCAGGGAGAAATAAAGACTATTAAAAACAACACAATCAGCAAACAGAAAATACAGAGAACTATTTATGATCTGAATTCTGATTAACTTCTTTTTAACAGCTGAAAAGGCCAACAGATATAACTGTGCCCAAAGAATGATCCATGTAAGAAACAAGCCAAGTATTCAGTTCAAATACCTCAGGCTAGAAGTAAGAGYACTTCTGCAGATAATAGTTACTTCAAACCATTCTACCAGCACAAAGACCCAAAGACTAAAGGAGGAAGAGTATTTCAACACCGTGGGATGATGCACAGCAAGAGATCCGAGTAGGAACCTATGGTTTACTACAAGGACTATCAGGTGTTAAATAAGACTAATGGGAGAGATTCAGAAAAAGTAGGAGGCAGTTTTTGAGCGAACACAGAAAATTTCTTCATAAAATTACTGCATTGACAGGTATTAAAATAAAGACACCAGTTGTGATTAGGACACTAAGAGAGAAGCTGTTAGAGCATACTAGGGAGGTATCTCTATACACTTCATCATTAGGGAAGCATCTCTATACACCTGATTATTAAACTCTTCTCTAGACATCTGCGTTTAGTCACTGCTAGCCACTGACAAAGACAAGATAGGGAAGTGCCATACATTGGGTCTGACTCGCTTAAATCATCTCATCTTCTTAGGTCAACCCTAGTGACTTTGAGATTCTGTGACTGCTTCACGTTTTTCAAAACCTCTYTGCTCTTTTCCACACACCCACAAACAAAGTGAAGACCACTTCACCAAAGTGAAGTGCAATAACGTGCACTGCTTCCCTGCCCAGCACCAAGGAGCAGCTCACAGCCCCAGCTCTATCAAAGCGGGGTCAATGATCCCTTCCAGAGGGCACTGGAAGGTAATTTAACACGACAGTGCTGGGTGTTTCGCTTCTAGATGAATGACTGCGGAGCACCTGCTCTGTTGCTATGAAATTCTCATCGTCCACAGACCCCTTTTGTCTCCTCCTCATTCTAACAAATGGATAAAAGGCTAAAAATCATATGACTTAGTGGCTCACACAAAAACCTTCACATTGATAATACACCCTGTCAGGTATTTTTTTACTGCARATGAAGTCAGTAATGCAGTTTCTAACTGAATAAAAAAAGTGAGAAATGCAAAAATGAAAAAACAATAACATAAGTAGATGGAAGTATTAGCACAGAAGATTCCTGATGGTGAACGGTGCAGTTATTTGAGGGCTTCTGAGCTCCTCAGTATGATTGTCATTCTTGAGTGCAAAGTGTAAAAATTTAAGTCACACATTGCTACCAACACCCACGGCCTCCGGCTGACCAAGAGGCTGAGCCTGCCACAGRCTTTCCCTACACTGAACTCGGCTCTATCTGCTCCTGACCACAAGAGAGACCACCAAAAACACAACTCCGAAACAGCCAAATCGGATCCACTGGRGCATTTCAGCACGGAGGGTTCTGTGCATGATCCTAAAAGTTCATGCAAGTCGGGAGAGAGACTTGGATCACAGTATCACGCAGTTTCCTCTACTGCCCCTCTGTTCGGTCCCGAGAGCCTTTGGGGGCTCCTGTTCCCACTGCTGCCTGCCCAAGGGAAGGGCAGAAGGTCTCTGTGTTGTGGGCTAAGGGCATCTCCCTTCATCCTGATCCAGTTTCTCAGCACTGACTCCGATGACTGTGACACAGGTCTATGCTGGGGACAACAGGTCCTTCCCCAGTGAAGGCAGCAACAGCTTAGCACTCTCATAAAACAGGAAAAGGACTTTAAAAAGTGCAGCAGTCTGCTGAAATGTGTTGTGGTGAAGCTAAAGAAGCTATAAGAGAAATATATTTAAATACATATTTATGAGTATGCGTCCACCCACATGTTTGTTTACTCCTCCAAACAAACAGCAGCATGTGTGGCACACAAATATCAAATGCAGGGTACCACAGGCATTTTAGCAGCACTTCTAAAAAGAAATCGATTTAAGGACAGAGAAAGATAAGAACTTTRCCTGTATAGCCATATGGGAAACTACACTGGACTCTCACTACTGCCATGGCAGAGAGTGATATGTTATTTTTAGACATGGCAGGGAAATAACAGAATATTAACTAATAGCAAATTGCATAATCTTTTCTATGCTAGAAGAAAAAACTATAAAACTGAACTATTTGGCTACAGCAACAGCTACTGTGGAACAACAACAGAGGGAATTCATCTCTATTATCAATTAAAAGAAAATAAGAGCATCTTAAAAGCAACAGAAGTGACAGCATTTCCCTACACAGCTTTTAAAATCATTAGCAAGAAAAGCATCATTGAACTTTGGTTTTGCTGTTCCCACTGTGCAAGTATCTGCYGCCAAAGTCGGGTCTCTCCTTACACCCAAAGGCAGACAAAATTGTATCCATATTTTATAACAAATACGTCTCCAGTAAAGTACCATAGGCCTTTAAAGCTAACCACAGGACTAAAGTAACTCTTCAAGCACATATTAAACTAACTAAAGTACCATAGGTCTTTTAAATCAGCACACAACTCAACAAATGACCTAATTCTACGCATAAGCATTTGTGAAACAGAAAATGTGAACTTAGGTGATGCTTTTCAGCTACCACTGTGTTTATTCTATGTGTGCATTACACATGAACTGTGATTACTCTGGGGAGAGGAGACTGGCTGAGAAACAGCTATCTCCTATGAAGAATMTAAACACTCATGGAATTCTGAAATATCTGTGAAGGGGCAGAACTGCAGTTTATAGTTTAATCTTGAGTTTAACAATTTAAGAATTCCACAAGCAGCCCCTACACTGAATTACCATCACTTTTTACTTTCTCTCAAACTTTTGGTGGTGTTCATCAAAAAAAAGAAAAAAAAAAGAATGAGTCCCATTGCTATCACTGGGAAAGATCAACTGGTACCTCAAAAACCCCTTACAGGATTAAGCTGAGGAACTAAAAGCCCTGGTTTGGYTGGGGGGAATTAGCTGAAAGGTGCAAACTTAAAAAGATAGCACTGAATATGTATTCACATAATGGTACCGATGTAATTTAAAGTGTCCCAGAGATCAAGCATGTAAAAACATCTGTGGTTTTGAAATGATGCTATGGGATTTTTGCAAACTTGGCTTCAAGGGAGAATCCTAGGACCAAGCTGCCAGCAAGAAGCGTATTTTAAACTTTAAAAGCTTGAGTCTATTCACKTTTTGGAACATGCAAGTGGATCTCTAGAAGCCAGCCTCACAAGGTGGCTTGTCAAGGCAAGGGGACCGGCTGTAGGTGGAGCTGAGGACCACAACACACCTGCTTCTGTGCACTTGTTACCTTAAGCAGCTGGATCTGCCCTGACCTCACGAATAGGAACAGTAAGATCAAGCTCAGCAGAGACGCTCATCTTCACAAAGCTAAGCCTTTGGACATCCGCAGACCTTAGGACCTCAGTGCAGACACAGAAGCATCAAGYGTTAACAACAAAAATACAGATTTTCACCTCAAGGGCATTTCAGACTATCGCCCTCAAAGCCCCCTGCAAGTTTACACAAGAAGCGCAAAGTCAAACAGGGGCGGCTCAAAAGGTACCTCCAAAAACTGCGCAAAAAGCCAGCAGGTGCCACAGCAGGAACGCTTGAGCGCTTGTGCCCGAGCCAGGCACAACTGCTGCAATTCCGCACCCATCCCCGGGGAAGCGAGCCGCGGAAACGCGATCCCAGGCGGACACCAGGCAGGGTGGGCACGGGAGGCGCCAAGCCGGGGTGCAGCCAGCCTGCAGCAGCCCCGGCTGGGCTCCGGGCGCGCAGGGCCGCTCACCTGCGGGGTCATGGAGGCCGGGTCGGGCTGCGCAGGGCCGCCCTGCGCCTCGCCCGCCTCCTTGCCGGCGGCCGGCGGCGGCTCCGCGGCGGCGCCGAACGGCGGCGAGCCCGAGGAGGT